TGTGTCTCGATCTCTATATATTATACTTATTATCTTTTTTTCTACCCATATTCGCTCGTATCTGCTATCTTCGCCATAGAGGCTATATTTGTTGATGTGTTCACCTCTCCGCCCCCAGTCCCCCCAATGTCCCCCTCTATAGCCACTCGCCCGCCCACACGTGTGTCTCATTGTTTTGGTTCATTGGGTGCAAAAAAAAAAATATATATATATATATGTATGATATCTGTGGTTCTGACCCTCCCTCTCTCTCCGTTATTCTGTGAAATAATATGGGTTCTGATTTTTGTGACTCGCATCCATTAGGACGAGTTCTGGGGAACGGTGAAGCACAAGCTCATGAAGAAGAAGAAGAGCCCCGTGCAGACCTACCGGGACATCGCTAAGAAGGCCGCTCAGGAGTACCTTGCGAAGGTTCCAATCGATGAGCCTTCTGGGGAGTGAACAGAGCAATCTGTTTGGCAAAGCATGCTATGCTATCCTAGACCCCAAAGCAGACCCCGCATCCCAAGAGACCACACGAGCTAGGGGATGTACATGTCAAGTTGCTAGTGTTAGCCCGGGGTCCTGGAGTTGTGGTGTTTTGCCCACAGTTCTCAATTAGTGCGAGCTTGTGCACATGCTGGGGCGGATATCCTGCCGTGTCCTCACGGTGGGGCTTTGTATGTGTGCTGGAGCTCTTGCGATTTCGTGTGCGATCATTATTTGCGCAGCCCAAAGCTGCAGCAGCTGTTTCGGAGCGGGGCGATACATTCCTTCGTGCGCTGCGGAGATGAAAATTGAGTCTCTTGCATTCAGGTATATGCTGTAGTCATGCCAGTGCACTCAGCATGCGAACTATGCAACATTCGATTTGATTTGAGATAGAATATAGGACATTTAAATCGCCCAGGCTGGACCATGAAACGTGGGCAAGCCTTCCTTGCCCGCTGCGGCGCCATTCCAGAGGCCTCGGATGCAGGCTTGCACATTCGGTGTGGGATCATGAGATATAAGGGATCCTGCAGCACTGTAGCAGTGAGAGTGTTTGCATGTGTGCTGCTTCAAAATGACCCTGACACCTGCCCAGCTCAGCTCCCTTGGTGTGACGATCCACACGCAGCAAGATGATATGCTATACACGATAATGGCACTTCACGTGGCTCCCACAAGTATGTAGATCGAATATTATAATAGGTTTTAAACTACTATTTTACTTTGGGGGTTGAATAGGGTACACTATAGGTGTTGTCGAGGCACTCATAGTTAGTGTCATGATCTCGACTGTGGAGCTGGATGCCTGTGTGCGGCGATTGATGGCCCTGGATGTACCGAAAGCTTCTAGGCGGCAAAACTACAACAATCTAATCGCTCTAAACCCCAAAGCCTGGCACTAGTGATCCGCAACTGCATGATTTCCTGCACCGTGCATATGAGGCCTTTATCGCAATTGTCATCATGGCTTTCTATATGGAACCCAAGCCACACTTCGCAGAGTCCACCTACGACATCATAGAACTCTTTGCTGGTCGGGCACGAATCACCAGGCTTGCCCAGTTTGCCGGGTACTCTGCGATAGCGGCCGACCAGACTTATGATGAAAACGAGTTTTCATCGTTGCACCTGTGTGGAAATGCTGGGTTCACGTGACTTGCCCTAATTGATAATATATTAAACCCTAAACCCTAAAAGCCCTAAACTATATTTACTGAGGCTTGCTGTTTTGATGATCCTGGCTGGCAAATTGGAAGCAGCATCTTTGGCTATGCTCGGGATAGAGTGTAGCACATGGGTGTCCATTAATGCAGGAACATCACGACGCAGTGTGGTCACTCCCTACGGGAACACTCGTCTTGAATCCGTTCAACAAGCAAACATGGCCACGTCGAGGCGAGCCAGGTTTCTTATACTAGTGAACCCTATAACCCTAAAACCCTAAACCCTACCATTGTAGACACTACAGCCCCAATAAACCACGTGTCAGGACAATGCTGCTCCTGATCCTCCTGACCTGCCT